GGTATGATCATACCTGTCAGGGTATGATCATACCCTGATCGATATGATCATACCTGTCAGGGTATGATCATATCATACCCTGATGGATATGATCATACCTGTCAGGGTATGATCATACCTATTGAGGTATGATCGTACCCAAACTCTTGGCGCGGGAACTTACAGTACGGTTGGTATGGTACGTACCATACATACGGTACGACGACGGTAGATACGTACGCGCGCAATGCTTCTCTGTTCTCTGCGGGTCTCTCGCATCGTGTACCGGTACCGGTACGAGTACGAGTATCGTGTCTCTCGGTGGATCGAACGATCGATGCGATCTTGGACGTTGCGTTCCCGATTTCCCGTTTTTTGGGGGGGGGAAAGGCTTGCTTGCTGCTAATGCTAAATCCGAGACACGGTGGTGGTGGTGGTGGTGGTGTTCGTTCTGGCAAGGAAACCAATCGTTCCGCGGATGCTGCTGCTGCTTGTGTCTCGACCCACCGGGGCGTCCCCCGGCTCCCACATAATCTAGGTAGCACAAACAAAACGAAACAAACTAAGTAATATGCAATACGTAAAATCAATGTTTCTATACGGTTAGTGCTACCATTGGCGCAACACGGGACGACAGTTGCCACCCACACAACCAACCAACCAACTCTTTCGATAATTTGTTGGTTGGTTGGTTGGTTGGTTGGTTTGCTATGCCTCGGCGTAGGTGTTTACGGTCCACTCCCGGGGGTGGGCCTCCGGGAGCCCCCCCTTGGTCTTGAGTCCCTTTTCGCGCTTGTCCAGCGTCCCGAGGTTGGCGTGGCCAAAGCACTCCCCCGGCAGGCCGACGGTTTCCTCCAGGACGCCCCCCGTGCGGTCGTCGAGGGGGATCTCCAGGTAGGTGATGGAGTGGTTGGTGTTGTGTGGAAGATGAAGATCGTCCCCCGCCCGGCCGGTCGCAAAGCCCCGGACCAGCTCCGTGTACTTTTCGTAAAAGGAGACCCAGGCCTCCTCCGCTTCCGGGTCCTTTGGGTTGGGGAGGTTCTCCCGGCCCCCTTGCCCGAAGAGGGAGTCGACCAGCGGCGAGACGGAAAAGTTCTTCCATCGGCGCAGGAGGCTCCCAAAGTTCTTGGCCGAGTTGTACCAGCTGGCCGCGTCCCGGTTCAGGTAGAGGATGGTGGCGTTGGGGTAGAACCTCCCAATGTTGTCCAGGTTGTCGACCATAAAGTCGATGCTCTTTTTCCCGGGCCGGTAGAGATCAAAGTCACTAAAGACCTGGTAGTCCTCCAGGACATCGGGAACCAGTTCCTCCTCTGTAAACTCCCGGCTCTCGTTGCCGTTGCTGCTTTCGCTGCCGCCGCCGCCTTTCCGGTTCTTCTTCTTCTTCTCGGGCTTGTCCCGGCCCGGCCTCCACGACAAGAGCGGCTGGTCGGCGATCCGGTTCGCCCGCATCGTCTTTCCGACGTACCTGAGCTTTGGCTGTTTCTTGTAGGGGTACCGGTGGTGGGCGCTGGCCCCGATCCCCAAACCGCACTGGAAGTACTGGTGGACCGTGGTGGTCCCCGACTTGGAGAGGCTGAGCACAAAGATCGGCGTCGGGACCTTGAGGGCGGAGACCGGTCTGGGCTGCGCGAGGCGGTGGACAAAGTGTCCCGTTTCGTCGACGTCGTCGACAAACTCCAGGCCGTTGATCAGGCTGGTGGTGTTGCCCGAGGTGATATTGTTGTAGATGGCCATGTTGCTCGCGGCGACCTCCTCCCGGGTGGGTTTTGGCTTGTCGCTGGAGCCACTGCTGCCGCCGTTGTTGTCACCGTCGTCGTTGGCGATGTTCCCGTCATCGTTGGCAATGTTCCCGTCGTCGTTGGTATTGCTGTCGTCGTCGTTGTCGTTGTTGTCGTCACCATCTTCTTTGCCATTGGCATCGCCTGTTTCGTCGTCGTCTTGATTACTGTCGTCATTTGTTCCATCGTCTTCATCGTCATCTTTCTTGCCTTTGTTCATATCATCAACCGTTTCATCGTCGTCATCTTCCTTGTTRTCATCAACCGTTTCATCGTCGTCRTCTTCCTTGTTGTCAYCAACCGTTTCATCRTCGTCGTCTTCCTTGTTGTCACCAACCGTTTCATCGTCGTCGTCTTCCCTGTTGTCAYCAACCGTTTCATCGTCGTCGTCTTCCCTGTTGTCATCAACCGTTTCATCGTCGTCGTCGTCGCCGTCTTTCTGGTCTTTGTCACGATCACCATCTGTTTCGGCGCCGCCGTTTTCCTTGGTTCTACCCGCGGTCTCGTCGTTGTCGACGTCGTCGTCTTCTTCTGTTTGGTCTCGGTTTCCTTCCGTGTTCCCATCGGTGTCCGTTTCGTCGGGATCCGCGTCACCGCCCGCGAAACGAAGGTCCGATTCGGCGCCTGTTTCTTTCTCGTAGGAACCGTCCATGGCCCCGCCGAGGGCGTCGCCAATGGCCGTTTCGGCCGAATCCAAAGCGGCCGGCCGCAGCGACGACGACGAGGACAATCCATTCCTCGCGGTCCTCGGAACGTGGCTGCCCCCGGGCACCCTTAGGTGGCCGACGAGCATGTGCAGCGTCGCCACCGAAAAGACCAGGACGCACAGCAGGACGACCTGGTTCGTGTACGGGGCTCCCATGGCGAAACGGAAAACGCAAGACAAGAGACGAGTTGAAACGAGACGGTTGCTCTCGCAGTGGTTGTTGTTGTTGTTTCTGCTGTGCTGTGCTGTGCTGTGCTGTGATGTATACTAGCACGGGCTACACTCACTGCCTGTTTTCGATCTCGGTCGGTCGGTCGGGAACGCGGTTCTCGTGGATCCGATTTCGGTGCGGCGGGCCTTGGTGCCTCCTATCGAGTGCCGGGTGTCTATTGGTTCGCGATGCGTGCGTTCTCGTCCCGGAACAGGTATCGTACAAGCACCGATACGGGTGCCGTTTGCTGCCGCTCGATGGTGACTACCCGCGTGAGAGTCTTTTGGTCTCGAGAGCGAGGACACGGAAACCAAACACGGCATCGCACGGTACGTACGGTACGTACGGCTATCGGGACGTACAAGTACGAGCACCGTACTCGTAGTTTCGTCTTGCTCTCGAATCGTGTTTTTTTTTTCCTCCTCGCCATGCGGTAGTGTACGGTACGATAAGTGTCCAACGGATACTTCTGATACAGTACGTAATTGTACCGGTACGGGTAACGATCAGTCGTACTCAGTACCGTAGCGTACGTAAGTTCTGTAACTCGTACGTACATGCATTGCCATAGGAAACACCTTCACTACTACCGTACGACAACGAGTGCCTCCCGTGGCCGTGGGTAAACCTCCTGCCATTGTACCGTAAGTGCGGTACAATAGAAGTTGTATTTCAAACTTTAATTCTCACGTCACGTGTGCTGGAGGTACGGTACAGCAAGTCCGAGTCGTTCGAGTGACCGTTGAGTCTCGAATCTGCACCGATACTCATTGTATTGCGGGTTCGTATCGTACGTATGTAGAGTACCTTGCAACTAGTGGATCGACGATTGACCACGGTAACAACTCTGTTGCGAATACGAATACAGGAACAAAGAAGAGATACAAGTTTTCCAATTGCAGGAAATCTCGAAGCCTGCTATTACTAGTAACAGAACGAAGTAGTAACGTACTCCAGATTGTTTGCCTACTAGAGAAAATTTATGATTTAGAGCTGGGTTGAGGCAGACTACGTACTTCACTTGCGATGCCATAAAAACAACTACTGGAATAGGATTCGATTTTACCATTTTTTTGTTTCTTGTTGCCATTGCTTGTTTCTTGTTTTCTACCAGGGCAGGACGAGTTGTTGCCAAGAAACAGGCAGTACAGCAATCATTTTTCTTGTGGTTCTTTCTTGCATTGCTTTCCCATTGCTTTGCTTCCCGAGGTATGCAGGCACAAAGTCGCCTTTCGGTAATTCCTGCACGCAAGCAGGAACGAGAGCCGTGCCATTGGACCTAGAATCGGCCCATCGTTCGTTCGTGCCCGGGTGGTTCTCGAGCACAGTACGTAGTTTACAGCAGTGCTGCTCCGTGCAAAAGTGTGTGCGTGCAAAAGTGCAAAAGTGCGAAAGTGTGTGCGTGCGTGCTCTACAACGGACCAAAGACGTATCCGACAAAGCCCTCGTCGCCAAAGAGCTTGTCCACGTCGACGTGGCAGAATTTCCCGCTCGAAGCGTACTCCTCAAAGGACGCGTCGTGGGCTTTCACGACTTCCGGGGGCAAGCCAGGGGCGCCGTCCTCCTCTCGGTACCGGCGGGAAAGGAGGAGGTGGTCCCTGCTTGCCGACGAGTCGGGGTGGTACGAGGATCGAAACAAGTCGTCGTCGTCGTCGTCGTCGTCGCCGTGGAGGCTCTGGGCCCCGCCTCCGGCACCGGCGTGCTTCCGCCGCTTCCTCCGGGAAAGGGAATGCTCCCTCACGAGGCGCACCATTTCCTCCAGAAAATACACGGACCGATCCCTCAGCTTCCGCAGGGTGTTTTCGCTCGGGCAGACCGTCGGGAGGGCCCTCTCGTGGCCTCCTTCGGTGTCGTTTGCAGGCAGGGAAGACCACTCCTCGATCCTCCGGAAGAGGACGTCCTCCGGCCTGAAGCTTGCCTTCTCCCACCCGGGCCTCGCTTCCGCGAGCAGGTCCGGGACCTTCCACCGGGCCAGCCGGACGATCCGGGCCCGGTCCTGCTGGGTGAGGAGGGCCCCCTGGACGCTCTTGCGCTTCACGGAAGCATGGAGGGGGTGCCCCGAGGCCGCGTCGTCCACCAGGTACGAGCACGTGCTTGACGCCGTGGGCAGGACCTGGCAGCAAAAGTCGCGCAGGACGTGCCTTGAGCCGCCCCCGACGCTTTGCCAGGCGGTCGCGTTGSCCCTTTCGTCCCCGCCCGGGTAGTAGGGCTGCTGGTGGAAATCAAAGACGTCGATCTTGTCGTAGAGCTCGGGCCGGGAGGACCACATTTGGTAGGCGTACAGGCTTCCCGAGAGCCGCTGGTACCGACGAATGGTATCGAGGTCTTTCTCGGTTTCGCCGGCCCCTTCGCGCAGAAAGGATTCGATGTAGTCGGCCATCCCCGGAACGGCTCGCGCCGCTTTGCTGGGATCCGCATCGGGATCCGCAAAGAGCTTTCCCATCGAGSCTTGGTACCGCTGATAATGCAGGGAGGGCAGCCACTGGAAAAAATGCCGGTAGGTCACCACGACCTTGACCCGAAAGCCAAAGCCGTCGCCGTCCTCGTCCCCGTCGTCGCTCTGGTGTGTGGCGTTGGTGTGTTCGTGGAGCCTTCGTTCGACTTTGCGCGACGACCGCCTCGCTTTRCCCTTCTTGGCATTCTTTCGTGGGACGACGTCGGGTCCTTTTTTCCGCGGCGGATAGATGCGGCGGGTCCCGCCCCCGGTCGAAACGCCGGAGGGGTGGAAGAGGGGATCGTTCGTCGACGTCGCGGCTGTTGCTGTCGCTGTCGATGTCGATGTCGTGCCCCCCTCGCCCCTCAACAAAATTCCATCCATTAGCCAGTCCCCGTTGCTCTGCATGCGAAAGTGCGACGTGAAGTGTTCCGAACTGATCACCACGTTGCGTCCGAGCCGCGAGTGCTCTCGCAAAATCTCCAGGAGGTAGCTGTACTTGTTCCGAAACTTGAAGGAAAAGAGCTCCGTCATGGGAAAGAGCGTAACGACGGTCTCGTTGCTTCTGCTGTGTCCATCTGCCGCCGGCCGGTCGTCGCCGCCGCCGTCCACCAAAACCGTCTGGATCGGCCCGCGCTTCTGGCCCAGATAGTAAATGTTGTCCTCCGCGGCGAGGGTTTCCAGCACTGGCCACGATGCCAGCCCGTCCTGGATGGTCGTTGTGGCGGTTTTTGGTGGTCCAACGTGGAGGACCAGCCAGGGACGGCTGCGTGGTCCGCGGACTTCGCTGGTGCGAAGTTCGCTGGTGAGGGCTTCGCCGATGTTGTTGGCTCCGACTTCGCTTGCTCCCGTTGGAGCAAGGGCTGCGGGTGCAGTCGCCGGGACAAAATCCGATGCCGTGGAAAAGGAAAACTGCCTCCCTAGGGGACTCAGGAATGACAATTGGTATAATCCGGCGAGGACCAATCCAGCGCAGAGGGCATTGGCTTTGGTCCTCGGTCGTTTGTGCTGCTGCTGATGCTGCTGCTGCTGCTGCTGATGCCGTGGTTTGTTGCTGTTGTTTGAACCTCGGCTGAGGCTTTCATGGATTCCGGGGGGAGGCAAAGCCATGTTGGAATCAAGGGGATCAGTATGTTCCCACTCCATTGAAGCAAGCCATCACCAGAATGCTTTTGTTTTTCCACCGCCGTTTGGATTTGACTGAAGGGATTTAATCGGTGTTGAGCCTAAAGGAATGAAACAAACCAATGCTAGTTCGATCTCAAATCAAGCTACGTACCGTACGCACCGTACGGTACGATAGAACAACAACGTTACTGTAGTGTGGATTGTTTGTTGACTCCTGATTTACAGTACGTACGTACCTACCGTACAATGACTACTGAATGAAACAAGGGCACTTCTGGCTAGTAATTCGGGGGTTATTGAACCCCCACTCGTAACTCGTAATGCACCGATACCGTACCGGCCGGTAGAATTATGACCCCTGACCTCGCCTCGCCTGGTCGCACATAATGTACAAGTACGTACCGAACAAAAGAATGTTCATACTTCATACTTTCAGTAATACGATAAGTACTCTACTCCGTTTCCAAATAAATGTCCCTTTTGGGCCTTTACTACCAAATGAGCTCAATATCTGCACGATTGGAATGCTTCTAGACAAATCTATGATACAGTACCGTACCTGGTAGTGCTACGAGTATTCAGCCATGTCTAATACTATTTGTGTGCGGGTCTGGGTTGGTACCTTTTTTTTCGTTACTGTGCGTAAGGTACGGTACTTTGAAGTAGTGTAATTGCACACAGAAAGTGTGACGTATCATCTGCTGAGACATTTTTCGTTTTTAGGACGACTAACCAAGCCCGACAGAGGTGCGCATTGAAGAAGAGAACATCTGTCGCTCTTCTGAAATTCGAATTTTCTTAAGTGTGAAGTAGAAGACGAATGTCCTGAACTTCGTTTTTACTAAGTGTAAAGAAGAAGACTAATATCACAAACTCCAATCTACCTAAGTGTCAAGTAGAAGACTAATATCAGGAACTCGACTTCGACTAATTCAAAAGTGGAAGACCAGATTGCCGAACCGGAAAAGTTCGATGTTCTATAGCATTCTCCATGATTTACACACATTACAGAAGAACCCAATCAACATAATAAATAAGTAAAACTAGAAACCATCACAATTGCGTTCTGTTACCCTATGGTACTGATTCAAATCGAATCGCAAMGTCATGCGATGCAATGTAACGTGATATAATGTTATGGGAGTTTAAAGTCGTTGTATTTCATCGAAGAGAACATTTTCAACCACACGAACACAGATGCCACACCGTACGGTACCATCATGAATTTGCCGTAACTTTCAAATACACTCCACGACAACACAACTGATCCAGCACCTAATTTCTATCTCATGCGTTTCGCTATTGCTGTTTCCGCCCTCGTAGCCCTTGGCTCTGCCAGGAACGAAGAGAATAGTAGTGGCAGATCGCTGAAAACCAGCCATCAACCCCCTCGTGATTCCATCAACCATGGATTGTCTGATATCAAGAGCCTTGGCAAGGAAAGCAATACTAGGCTTCTGTCGCAAAACCAATCCACTGACCACGGATCTGCCAGAACTCGTTTGGAAAAGGATCTAGAATTCTTTCCAGACCTTGGTATCATAAAYCAACATGGTACTTCCTCTCATTCTATTTCTGTTGAAACATATCGAGTCAATGACTGTAAGCAGAAAGAACATTTAGGAGATTCAAGCATGCAAAACGAAAACGAATCCTTTGATGACACAATTGTTGATCCAATTGTTGATCCAATCGTTGATCCAATCGTTGATCCAATCGTTGATCCAATCGTTGATCCAATCGTTGATCCAATCGTTGATCCAATCGTTGATCCAATGCATTCGCGGGCACGCCAAAAGGAGCATCACATAGTTCAGTCGAAAACGGACTGCGCTGCCGCTTGTCCCAACGAACGACCAGTTATAAACGTTTCAGGAGAAGAATTCAGGACTCTCGTTGATGAATGCCTGAAAGAAACATGCAAATACGACCTTCCAATCAACTGCTGGAACGTATCGAGTGTCACGGACATGACGTCTGCATTTCGGGATCAAGAAGAATTCAACGAGCCGCTGGAATGCTGGGATACATCCAGCGTGACATCCATGGAAGCAATGTTTTTCGAAACATACAGCTTCAACCAGCCGATTGGTGAATGGGATGTAGGAAACGTGGAGAACATGAAAGATACGTTTTACTATTCGAATTTCAACCAGCACATTGGTGATTGGAATGTGGCAAACGTAAGAAACATGCAAGGCATGTTTGGCGAATCATATCGGTTCAACCAGCCCATTGGCGGTTGGAACGTAACAAATGTGAGAGACATGAAGTCGATGTTCTTTTTTACCTATTTCAACCAGCCCATTGGGAATTGGGATGTGTCGAAAGTGACAGATATGAGTTATATGTTTCAGGCTACATCTTCCTTCAACCAAAACATCGGCAATTGGAATGTTGCGAAAGAGGTAAACATGAAGAACATGTTTTACGATGCAARAGCATTCAATCAATGTCTGGAAATGTGGGGTAAGAAACTTTCACGGAAGAGCAACAAAAAAAAATTCAAATCWATGTTTGGAGGCAGTGGATGCCCGAATCGATCGAATCCGACCCCACCAAAAGGGCCCTGGTGCCAAACCAACAAGGAATCCTGCAGCCTGCCCGACTCCTCTCCGTGTGAAAACCGGAATTCCTTTTCGTTCAGGGGGGGARGCATTACCTGCAGCCAATTAGATAACTTTAGCAAAGACAAGAAGAAACGGTGGTGCCAAAASAGCGTAKTGAAATTCGGCTGCCCTGGGGTTTGCAACCGTCGATGCACTTGCAAGGACAAGATAGGATTCAGGATCAAGACGCGCAGGTTCCTATGCAATAATTTGGGGAAAAACAAACGGCAGCCMACCTGCGACACCAAGGTGGGCAAGAACACTTTGGTAGAAGATCTCTGTCCCGAAAAGTGCGGCTCTTGCTGGAAATATCTTCTGGTGATTTGAAAGTAATTGAAAGTAATTACATAAATTTCATATTTTTTGACCAGAATCAGCCCTTAGCTCATATTTGTATGGCACTCGAAACGTATGTATTGCTCCTGCGTCCTCAAACGAGAGAAAAAGGACCATTCCACCCGACTTGTACCAAATTCTACTGTACAGCTGGGGTCCAAGCACACACATCGTGGCTTCTCAAACCACTCCCAGTGTTTAGACACAAAGAATGCTGTTCCTGCATACTCTGGATCCAAGCRGGAGTGCCTTGCTGAGAGGAGTCTGGAAGCGTGGCTGAAGATGCACTCAGATGGGACTGAAGTGGGTTGCACAGGAAGATAGATCTTGACCAGCCTTGCAAGAATTGAATAACTTRCCTGTGCTTTTTCCACCACTGGAGTGGATCATTGTTAACTGTCTTACCTCCAATTGTTTTGACTAAGGCCAAGAAGCCATCAGAACACATGTAAAGATCAAGTTCACTTCTACAGCAAGCATGATCAATATTGACATCTGCTGCACCATTGCTAAATTGATGGCAGTTATACTCTTCAGCTTTTGCCTCTTCTTCCTCCACCAGCTCAAATATGTTCATGTCAGCATCATCAACACCAGTATTAACACTACTATTATCTCCTTCTTTGACTTGTTCCATGGTGATGTTACTRGTTGCCTCCGTGGCAGCCAAGTCCTCAGCTTTGAGTCTCTTGGTGGACTCAGACTCTTTCCTCATCAGTTCCACCAGTACTTTGCTGCAAAGATCTTCTCTGTTTTTTCTTTGGTGCAAACAACATTTTTGCTTTTATCATCTTCTCCAATGGATACCAAACTCTTGATACTACTAATTCTAGTAATTTGAGGAGTGTACTACTACTGACACTAGGAGTATCATTTCAGAGACAAGAATGTTGTATAGATATGGCCACCAAATGTACAATATAGTCTTACATTTTGGGCCCTTATTTTTCCATGTAATGACTACTTCTTGACTAAAAAATTGTTAAATACATAYAAAATCCACGTTCTCCCTCAGTACTACTACTTGAATTTTTGAATCCCCCATTAATTTGACCAAAATAGTTTTGCTTGCATGTGCCCTGCCTGTAGCCCTACTAGTACAAGTCAATTTTTAATCCCACAAGTCATTACACAGTAATTAGATGGACCAGAATTGACACACCGTACAAAATACATGTACTAGAACATTAAGAGAGATTCAACTCACTTGAACAGCTATATCTCTGTCCCCAATGGACGCTTAACAATGATAAGCACATGAATCAAATCCCAGTAAAAAGAAATATTCAGTGATATGGGGGTTTATAGTGGGTTATTGAATATTTAGTTATAGTATTACTGTAAATATATCAAATATTAAAAATGTACGATTAAATTGGCTGAGGAAGACAATGAGTGCAATATTGCAATTTGCAAACAAGGAGTTCATGCTTTGATGGGAGCTGTCACTTTAAGCACAAAGTCACACATTATTTCTCATAAATTTGAATTTCTTGGTCTTGATTGTTTTAACAGAGATACAATTGAGGAATTTGTTTTGGATTCCAATTCAGTTCAAAACAATCACATTCTATTTCTTAAATCTCATGTTACAAATTATTTGTGCATGCCAGGCAAACCTGAAGATGTTTCTGTCTATGAATTTTTTCTCTGGCTTCACCAAAACAAAAGGAATCAAATCAATGAAGGGGGAAAACAATTGATTGGTCAACTCCACACCACCCTGCTGCAAAAATCACTTGAAAATTTCCAAATGGGAACAGTGAAAGCTTTGGAGGCATCCCCATTGATGGTAACATCAATCATCCAAAAGATACTGGTGATAACAACTTGTTTGTAATGGGAAAATATACTAAAACAGCAATGATTCTATTTTTTCATTTAGGAATGGTGCAAAAAAAGAACTCCAGACAGATTTGAAATGTTTATCAAAATTCAGGGAAAATCTAAACGGTGGGAAATTAAAACTGAATCATCAGTGTTGATTTAAACTTCTTGGTCTTACACAAGCAATTGGATTTATGATGTGCTTTCAACAACAAGTAAGAAGGGTTACTACTACTAGTAGTAAAACTTCTTATTCTTCCAATGGTCTGTTTGTAAGATCACCTCTTCTGCTTACAAAAAACAACACCAACAAAAACAATAACCAGTATACACAACAAATCAATGATTTCCTTTCATATTTCAGAAACAACAAACAGTCACGGTGCTTTCATKGAATAGTAGAATAGAAGTAGTAGCTTCTACTACACATTCTTTTCAGAGCATAACTTCAACCTTACTGGCACTAACTTAGTTTTTGCACCGTAGAAACTAGTAGAAACTACTGTATTTGCGTTAGCGAGCCAATCAACAGCAGACTTAACTCGTAGTAGTAGTACGTTTCGAACTTGATTCGTTTCTCGCGCAAGATTCGATTCGAGTCCTCGTAAGCAGAAAATTATTTCTACGTGAGTAGATTTTGTTTGCTGTATCTTCCATGAAAGTATTTTGGAATTTTTGTTTGGTGTCCGCAATCTCGATTCATTGCCCTCGCCATYATTACAGTATCACTATTACAGCGGTAGAAAATCCCGTGCGTTTCGAGATCGCTTGCAAAACCCAGCCCACCGAGCACAAGGCAACACAAGACAACGCTATACAACACAACACAACACAACACAACACAACACAACACAACACAACACAACACGCCATGGCTGCCAGAGAACACGAGTCAACCGAGACCACCAAGAGCCCCCCGGTGGGGAAGGCCCGTCGTGTCCGGAACCCCCACCCCTTCGCGAGGCTGGAGAACCCGTCGCCGTGGGAATCCACCAGGATGGTCTTCGGGCTCTGCACCGGGCTCGTGATCGCCCGGCTTTTGCTCCTGCTGGTCTCGACGGCGGTCACGGTCGCCGCGACGGTGGCCCTGCACTCGCTGGGGTGCGAGAGGGCCAGGGTGCACTGCCTGCGCCTGGGCTGCAGGTGGGCCCTGCTGGTGGCCRGCTTTGTGTGGATCCCCGTGTCCGGCTCTTTTTCCGGAAGCAGCGAACCCGGGAGAAAAGGCCGCGGGCAGGGGACCGCGAGGATCGTCGTGTCCAACCACCTGTCCAACATCGAAATCCTGCACCTCCTCACCCTTCCCTTTGTCGACGGGGAGGGGAACCCCGTCCTGCCCTGCTTCGTCACCAAGGCATCCGTCTTTGGGGTACCCCTCATTGGGACCGTCGCRAGGGACGTTCTGGGATGCATCGGCGTCGAGCGCCGGACGAAAAAGGCGAATGCGGATGCGGATGTGAATGTGAATGCAAATACAACAAATGCGAATGCGAATGCGAATACTAATGCAAATGTCCGGGAACAGCAACAATCCGCAGCAGCAGCAGCAACTACAACTACTACTACAACAACCGCTCGAACAGCCACGGAACAGATCCTGGAGCGGGTCCGCGCCCAATCCGACCCTGYCACGAAAACAACAAAAACCCGCGGACCGATCGTTGTCTTTCCGGAGGGCACCACCACCAACGGAACCTGCCTGCTGGCCTTCAAGCAAGGGGCCTTTGCCCCCATGGTGGAGGTCCTCCCGATCGTCTATTCYTTTCGCAAGAACGGAAGGCTTCCGCAAGAAGATCCGGACCCAAAGACCCCCRGCTCCTTCCTGCCGACGTACGAATCCATCTGGGGCCCCGCCTACCTGTGGCGGCTCCTGTCCCAGCCGGTGCACCACCTGCACTGCTCGGTCCTGGAACCGGTCCGGCCGGGAGGGAGGGGACCGGAGGCCTTTGGGGAAAATACCCGGTCGACCATGGCGGACGCCCTCGGCGGCCTCCCGCTGGTGCCGGCAAGGTACGACTACCGCCACAAGCTGGCCTACCACCGGGAGCTGATGGAGGCCTACAAGGCGCACCCCTCCGGGCCGGTCTGGGCCATGTGCTTTGCGCCGGTGGAGAAGGTCCTGCACAAGATTCCCGGGGAAGACGATGGGGATCCCCGGCCGGGGGAAGGCCGCGGGTACGAYACGGTGGAGGGGAGGCTCCCCGGGCCAAGGACCCCTTGCGAAGGGCACCAAAAAGAGGCCTGAGACAACCGATTCCTTCGTTTGCCGTTCCGTTCCGTTCCGTGCGAGGGTTTCGAAGCACGGCAAAGGAATGGGACGGCTGGCGTGTCGCACCACACCAGCTAGTTCTAGTAGTATTGTACAGTACTTGGCATTATCGAGCTGCCCATTCTCTTTGTTGGCGTTCCAATGACACCAATCCTAGCAGTCGTACTATCTATCCATTGGATGGATTTCTTGACGCAATCCGGCCTTCGATTGCGTTGGCTCATGATATGACGAAAAAATACTATAGTACTCTATTATTGTACGGCACATTGGGACTCGTTGTACAAAACTAACGCACCATCCTTGGGGGACGACAGCAACCGTCCGGGGGCTCTTCCGGTGCACGGTCTCGGCTCGGCTCGGCTCGGCTCGGCTCGTCCCGCTTCGTGTCGGCGTTTGTCCCGCTCACGGTGGATGCCCGTTCCTTGTTCTTCTTCTGCACCGATTTCCCATGGTTTCAAATACGACAATGGGTTGTATTTTTTCTGCCACTCGTTCGTTTGCTCGCTCGCTAGACTCAGGAGTTMTCTTTCGGTTGTGGCTGTAGCGTTCCTTGGCGGCCGAACGAACTAGCGGTTGTGTCTGAGGCTCTCATGCGCACAGGCAACAAAAAAGCGATGGGTGCAGTATTTCAATACCTTTCTGGTGCCACCCAGCGCAATCGTGCCTATATCAAAATCTCCTTGCAGTCGCAGAGATGCATGCTTCAATAGATCACCATTCTGTGTTACTGCAGCCATAACAACCTCTTTGTTGTCCTTCATTTGATCTGATACACATCGCAATGCATCACCATACTTTGTTACTGCAGCCATAACAACCTCTTTGTTGTCCTTCATTTGATCTGACACCCATCGCAATGCACGACCATTCTGTGTTACTGCAGCCATAACAACCTCCTTGTTGTCCTTCATTTGATCTGGTGCAAATTGCAGTGCACGACCATTCTGTGTTACCACAGCCACAACAACCTCCTTGTTGTTTTTCATTCTATCTGATACCATTTGCAATGCACGACCATCCTGTGATACTGCAGCCATAACAGCAATCTCCTTGTTGTCCTTCATTTCATCTGGTGCATACTTCAATATATCACCATACTTTGTTACTGCAGCCATAACAACCTCTTTGTTGCCCTTCATTTGATCTGATACCCATCGCAATGCACGACCAAATTGTGTTACTGCAGCCATAACAATCTCCTTGTTGTCCTTCATTTCATCTGANATCTGATGCATACTTCAATGCATCACCATTCTGTGTTACTGCAGCCATAACAACCTCCTTGTTGTCCTTCATTTCATCTGACACCCATCGCAATGCACCACCATCTTGTGTTACCACAGCCACAAGAACCTCCTTTTTGCCCTTCATTTCATCTGATGCATGCTCCAATGCATCCCTATTCTGTATTACTGCAGCCATAACAACCTCCTTGTYGTYYTTCATTYYATCTGAYGCCCATCSCAATGCAYGACCATCTTGTGTTACCAAAKCCATAACAATCTCCTTGTTGTCCATCACTTCATCTGATGCCCATCCCAATGCACCARCATCTYGTGTTACTGCAGCCAYAAGAACCTCCTTGTTGTCCTTCATTTCATCTGATGCATACTCCAATGCACAACAATCATTTGTTACTGCAGTAATAACAACCTCCTGGTTATTCTTTAGTTCCTCAGATGCGTACTTTAATGCCTCACCATTATGTGTTACAATATGCGTAACAAGCTCTTCGTTGTTCTTCATCTCGTCTGAAGCGTACCTCAAAGCAACACCGTCGGGTTGGGCAGCGGCTTCGACAACCCTCGCGTTGTTCCGCAGTCTCCTGGACGCGTCCTCCAAGGCATAGCCGTCCTCTGATACCGCCGCGAGCACAACGTCGATGTTGTCCTTCAATTCCTCGGATAAATCTTTCAACTCTATTTCTCCGCTCTCCAACCGTCGGATTGCGTTGGTCACGGAGAGATCCATTGTTTTGTGCTAGGGGCGGGACAACCACGACGGCGTTCGGTATCTGTAGGTGCTCGGCACGATTCGCCTCGGTTTGATTTGATGCGATTTGATTTGGTTTGGTTTGATTTGATGCGATTTGATGCGATTTGATTTGATGCGATGCGATGCGATGCGATGCGATGCGATGCGATTTGATGCGATTTGATGCGATTTGATGCGATTTGATTTGATTTGATTTGATGCGATGCGATGCAGCGAAAAACGGCCGACAGAAATGGTTTGTTGTGTTGTGTCGTGTCGTGCCGTGCCGGACTGCAGCGAGATCCTCTTCCTTTATCGAATCCAGCCTGGGTTTGCTGCTAGACCGGTCCGAATATCGTTTGTTCCAGCTGTTGATTGGTTGTTACAGTAAGTATCGAATGCATCGAATGGAATAGAGCCAATAAAAAAGGATGTCTCCTGCGAACGAATACAGTACGAGTTACGAGCACGAGTAGGTACCAAGTACTGTACCTTACCGTACGAGATCGTACTCGTAACGAACGAATCTCGGTTCTCGAAAATAGTAAAAAAACACCCGCGAACGAATACGAGTTACGAGTACGATCACGAACTCGTACGTACACAGTAGTGCCCTACCCAAGTACAGTACCAGGCAACCATAGGTATCCGGAACTAAACCTACTACATACATACCATATATAGGTACAGGGGCCATAAGATTAGCATCGATCCACTCGATCGTTTCGATTCGACTCCTCCCCCCGACGATTCGGAACGAGGCCCGGCCTGCACCGGCCCGCGCGATTCGAACGATGCAGGAATTGCCGGATTCCGAGGGGATCGCCCCGCTCGGTTTCCCCCTCGCCAATGCCACCCCGGGTCGTGTCGGTGGCGTCGTTGTGGCGTCGTTGTGGTGCGGCAGGGCCGTTTTGCGAATGCTTTTTTGTTTTCTCCGGGGCAGGCAACACAATCCAATACAAGGAGGCGAGGGAACATACCTACGGTACGTGCTCCCCCGTACGGCACCACGCACGGTAGGGTAGTATTGGTAGTACTACTTGTAGTACCGTAAGCATCGTGGCGTGTTTACCAGCTGTGTGAGCTTTCTTCCGCACCAGTCGATCGATCGGTAAAATCCACGAGTATTGTTACCAGTCGCGACAGACTAGAAAACAGAAGCAATCACTCTACCGATCAAGCAATCGAGCAATCGATCAACGACCCGCCCTATCACAGCCTAGCATTGCATTGCCTTGCCTTGCCTTCACCTCCCATCGACGCTCCCGGAATTGTATCATCGAACGACAATCCAATTGAATCCAATTGAATCCAACTGAATCCGTCCCGCGAAGAATGCCCGGCAACAGCAAGAAGAAGCAGTCCTATCGATCCATCCACACCGATTACAAGCCCTTTCTAAAGTACATTCGAAACCACTCGGACATCGACGACACCACGGTGGAACGACTCGAAAAGAAGTACGGAGGGGTTGCTAGCAACGGACTGGGAGACCTGGCTGGAACGAACACGAATACGAATACGAATACGAAGAACACCAACACGAATACGAATACCAACACGAATACCAACACGAATACCATGGACACAAGGGGCACCGTTGGAGCCTCCTTTTCGTCGCAGGCCCAGGCGGCCGCGGCCTCCCGAAAGGAGCGCGACGACGCCCGGCACGCGGACCTCCACGCGAACTACCAGCACGGGTCCTACACGGACGGGGACAAGATCTTTTTGCTCAAGCGGGAGATCGACACCCTCCGGAGCAAGCTGAAGGAGGCCGATCCGAAGGCGAAGAACACGAAGAAAAACCGCCTTTCCGCCTCGGGAGGTTCCGCCCTGGCCCCCCTCTCGGCCCTGCTGGCGGTCGGCCTGCTGCTGGTGGTGGCCAGGACCCTCCGGAGGAGGATCGCCAGGGCCCGGGCGGGGGGATCCCTGCTGGA